ACCTTCCGGGTATATTTGGTCATACGACGGCCTGTTCCGGCGAGATGATCAGCTTCCTCATTCCCTTTTACACCGCAATGTCCAGGCAACCAAATGAATACCGTGTTGGGTGGCGCGTACTCTTGGATGGCCTGTATCCAGGGGTGCCTGCTGGTTGCGGATTCAAGTGCAGTGACTACACTAGCAGAGTCTGTGAAAAGTGCGATTGGCCGTGTATCCGGGGTAGTAACTGCGATAAAAGCTGCGGCTGCCTCGGCGGAAAAAATAGAGCACTCATCCGGGAGCCTATGACACTCCTTTAGGTGGTCACCGGAGATGCCGATGCCCACCCTTTTCTGGGCTACGGAACCGTCCGAGTAACGGATGGCGTATCCAGCGTACGTCCTTCTCTGCAAATCCAATACCGCCTGATTAACCGCAGAGGGATTGGAACCAGCCTTGAAGTGCCGTTTGATGGTGTGGTCGGTCTTAATTGGCGGTTTGTTCCAGCCTCTGGCTCCAACCCAATGTGTCTTGCACACTGGGGGGAGAGCTCGGTTGGAGATTTCCCTGAGGAACTTGTTGGCCTCCTTTAGGAGGGAACCTTCCTCGTCTGTACCTGACGTTATCTCATTCAGCCCGATGGCGCGTTTGCATATAGTCGCGGTAATCAGGCGGTCGAAGGGGAGTACTCCTCCCTCGATGCAGGCGGCGATCCCGGGGGTACCAGGAAGGAGTCCGGAAGAAATCCGAAGTGCTTGCTGGTAGACTGGTGTAAGCCTTTCCACCAGGCGTGGTTTGGCAAGGTACGTAGCCTCGATGCCGTAGGTCAGCCGCGAGTTTACTATAGCCTTCGCAACATTGAAGCGTGAGGTCCGGTTGGCGTTAGGATGTCGGCCTGCTAGTGTCCTCAGGATGTTTAGGCGCTGTTTGCAAGCACTCTTTACCTCGTTCAGGTGCGTGTTGAACGTAAGAGATCGGTCGAAATGCACACCAAGTATCCGAAGGGTTTTTCTGAACGGAATTACCTCGTCCTGGATGCTGATCTTCGTGCTGAGGATCCGGTGATTGGACGGACAAATATGAGTGTACCCGCTTTTTGCTGCGGACATCTGGAATCCCGCGTTTGATGTCCAATTCGAGATGTAGGCCGTGGCTTGAATAATTTTTCTTCGAAGCGCTTTGACAGTCTCCTTAATTGCCATAAGGACGATGTCGTCTGCATACACGAAAATGAATATTCCGACCGGCAACCTCGTGAATACCCCATTCATCCTAACGAGAAAGAGGGTGACCGCTATCACCGACCCTTGCGGTACGCCAGTCTCCTCGTCGAAAATCTTGGATCGGCAGTTCCCCAGGACAACCTGGAAGGTCCGGTGCGAGAGGAAGTTCTGGATGAACTTCAACACGTGTCCTTTTAGACCCCAGGCTATCAACTGGTCCAAAACACCTGGCATCCATGCCCGGTTGTAGGCCTTCGATAGGTCAAGCGCAACCAATTCAGCGTGATGGTTATTTGCGGACATTGACGATAAAGCTTCGCTGAGGGAGCCGAGGTATGTGCTGGTTCCGTGACCTGGTCTAAAAGCATGCTGTCGGTGGTCCAGGTGTTTCCCTTCCTCCAGGTACAGGATCAATCTCCTGTTTAACATTCTTTCAACCAGCTTAGACGCACAGCAGGTCAACGAAATGGGTCTAAATTTGTCCACCTCGTGCCCTGTGGAGTTCGGTTTGGGGATTGGGACGATCAAGCTGTGTTTCCACTGGTCGGGGAAAGTGTCACCCATCCATTCCTGGTTCACCAACTCTAGCATCCTAGCCTGCTCCCCGATAGGGAGGTATCGAAAGAGAGGATATCCCACTTCATCAGGTCCAGCAGATGCGCCTCTAGCTTTAGATAAAGCAAGGGCGAGTTCATCCATGCGGAAGGGTCGATTGATGTCCAGGTTGTCGCTGTCATTCGGGATCGGGATGTTTCCTATGGAGTGGATAGTCGGGCAATTCTTCCGGCGGAATGCTGGGTCGTACCTGTCGATCGATGACAGTGACGCGAAGTAGCTGCCGAGAATGTCGACGATTTCAGCTGGATTTCGTGTGGTCGTTCCGTCGTGCTCGATGGCGATACCACGGGCTCTTCTTTTACCGCTTATCGCATTGACTTTGCTCCAGAGGTCAGCTGTTGTTTGGCTGGGGTTAACCTCGTCTAGGAAGGACTCCCAGCTCCCCTTTTTAGCTTCACGGATGATATCCCTGCAGTCATTCCTCTTCGTTCGGTAGTGTTGTAGTGCTGTTTCCTTGTCCGGATGGTTGGCAGGAAGTTTCTTGGCTGCCCGAAGGGCCTTTCTCCTGGCTTTAATGGCCGCTTTGACACTTGGGGACCACCAATGAAGGGCCTTTTTCCCCGGAGTCGCGCTTGTTCTTGGGATGGTTTTCGAAGCGGTATCGAACATCATCTTAGTGAAGTCGCTTATGGTGTGGTGGTAATTGAGCCGACAGTTTTCCTCAATAGCGATCTGGTAGGCCTCCCAGTCGGCCTGCTTATAAATCCAGCGGGGTCTTCGCGATATTTCGGGTGGGCATTCATCAAGCTGTATACTAATCGGGTAGTGGTCGCTGCCCCTCGGGTCATCGTTCACCATCCACAGTAATCGGTGTATGATACTGGCACTAGCGAACGTGACGTCAACCGTTGACATTCGGCCACGGGCGAACGTGTTGGACCCGTCGTTTAGCAGGATGAGATTCCTGGATTCGGCGATATCCATGATGATGCTTCCTCTTTTATTCGTTGGGTGTCGTCCCCATGCTTGATGGTGAGCATTGACGTCTCCCATCAGAATGAGAGGGCCTTCCAGGGTGTCAAGGAATTTTGCCAGGCGGTTTCGAAGGTCTGAAATCTTCTGGCAGGGCAGATAGATCGAGATGGCCGTGGCAACGATCGGACAGCGTATTTTTGCAGCTACTATTGGCAAGTCAGCTGGTGTGGTGATCCTGACAAATGGAAGAGATGATCTAATCCCGATGGCGACGGAGTGGTAGATGTTGATTCCTTTCTTGAGGATCCATCGGTATTGCCCAGACAGTGACCGATTCATCCTGATGACGCTGGATTTGTGTACCTCCTGGATAGCCAGAATGGCTGGGGAATGATCCCTAACCATAATCTCCAGATCGCTGATGTTGTTTTGGAACCCATTAATATTCCACTGGATAGCCAGGAAAGCATTTTCCGTTGCACGTCTGCTTGGTCCATTGGACGTAATGTTCCGGTTTCGGTGTTGATGATTGCCGACGAGTGTGGTGTTGGCTCTTGCCAACCCAGGTGTAATTCCCACAAAGGTCGCAATCGTTGGTGCCGTTGCAGCGAGCGAGGGTATTAGTACAACGGTAGTGTCAGGCAGATCGAACGACGCGCTGGGTACGTTCATGGGACTGGTGACGTCGATTTCATCGGCCGTGGGATCCGTGTCAGTCAGGGCTTCATCAAGATTGAATAGATGTGTTCCATTCAACCAAGACGGAGATGGCACAGGGGAGATAACCATCGGTGGGCTCGAGTAGCAGACCGAATGGAACATTGCCCCACCCAGGACAGGCGGAAGTATTCCACCCATCAAAGGCAGGGGTGATCCAACGGGAGGACGTACGTTTTGGCTGGGTATTGGTGCTGCATTAATGTCGGGCAGGTCGAATGACGAGCAGGCAGTAGGTGCCCAGTGTGGGAGAAAGCTGGCCTTCCATTGGTCATATTTCTTCGCATTGGACCGTGCATCTAGGGGAATGTTGATGCTATCGTGATGTATGCCGCTGGATACGTTCATGCGACTGGTGACGTCGATTTCATCGGCCGTGGGATCCACGTCAGTCAGAGGTCCATCTGGATTGAATAGAGGCGTTCCATCCAACCAAGACGGAGATGTCACAGCGGAAATAACCGCCAGTGGGCTCGAGCAGCAGACCGAATGAAACATTGCCCCACCCAGGACAGGCGGAAGTATTCCACCCATCAAAGGCAGGGGTGATCCAACGGGAGGACGTACATTTAGGCAAGTTTGCGGATGATTGATCCCGTCAGCGAAGTCATTAGCTGGTTGTGAGCGGGTAACCCTGCTTGGCTCCGGTTCAGTGGTTGAAAACCGTGTCGATTGGGATCGAATTCCACCAAGGGGAGGTGAGGGCTTTTCGTCGGTCGTGAAAACTACATTGAACGGTTTGTTGGGTCCAGAATGAAACAGATCCCCACCAGGGGCAGGCGGAGGCATTCCGCCAACCCAGGGCAGGGATGTCCCAACGGTGTTGGGATCGATGATTGCATTTGGCGTACAGGTGGTGTTGATGCTGATGAGCTCCGATACGGTCATTTTCAATGTTGCATGAGACAGAGCCCCACCAGGAACAGATGGAGGTATTCCACCCAACCAAGGCAGGGATGTCCCAGCAACGGAAGAAGAGATGTCAAACGACGTGTTCAGTGGCTTGCGTCCCTCGGAGTCCTTCGGGGAATGGGCGTAGCATCCCTTGTCCGTCTCGATATCTTGATGATGCTTCGTTTCTTCTTGATCCTTAGGGGAATAGGTGTTTCCACCCTTGTCCGTCCCTCTTCCAGTTTCCATCCGGTACCGGGGGGTTACCGTTAGTTCCGGTGTGGGAAAGGCTTCCGCACCAACGGGGCCCCGACTGCCGGGGGCTATCACTGGGTTCTTCTTTGGGTTCTTCGTCCACGAGCCACAGGGGTGGTCCAGCAGTACCGGTGTGGGAATGACGTCCGCACTGCAGGTGCCCCGTGTACTTGAGGCACTATGGTTTTCATTCGATCTGTTCGGGTGCGGAGGGGTGTCCGAAGATTCCGGTGGAGTTTTGGCTTCCAGTTCAACGGTGCCTCGGTTGCCCGGGACAGAAGTCGAACTAGTTTCGTGGTGGTTCGTAGCTTGCGGTGATTTAGGTGTTCGAATGGCCATTAGAGATATCCAGTGTCAGGCGGTGGTCGGTGGCCGTTGAACGGAAGCAGCAACTTCCGTTCAAACGGTATCAGGTGGTTCCGGAGATAACCGAAGAGACTTCGGTATCATGGGAGGCTGGGTTATGTGGAGTGGCCGTATCGGAGGGCTGAGAACGTTACTCGGTCGTTTGGAGGATTTTGGCGTGTTGGTAATTGGTAGCGGCGTATCGACTCTGGCATTTGGGTTCGGACTGAAGTCAGGGGTGATCGTCCTGTCACTGGCGTTCCCCGGTGATGTGGATCTATCGCTGGTGACGTCAATCACTTCAACCAGGTTGAAATCCAGTGAATTTCTGGGTGTGACTGGCGAGGAGACTGTAACAGGAGTCTTAGCCGTAGGTGTGCCCGGTTCGGCGGTTTTGGTTTCCGAGGTGGGCACATATGCGGTGGTTACAATTTTCTTTCCTACGCTTGATTTGGTGCTGGGTTTTTCGGTAAACGTATTTATAATCTTTTTACTGCCCGTTGCTACTTGCAACGGAGCGGATGTGGCCTTCGGCCTTTGCGATAGCGGTCTCTGGGGAGCCGGTACCGGAGGGGACCGACCGGACGTTTTCATGGCTGCCTCAATCTGTTGTAGTTTTGTTTGAGTGGTAATCTGGGTAGCCACGAGGGCCTTGATGGACTGCTGAAAGTTATCGTTCATCTGCAGCATCTGTTGCTGCATCATTGCGAAAAAATTCTCTAGTGGCGGGTTAGCAGGTGGGGTGTCAATCGTGTTATTGGAGTTGTCAGAATTCCTTATAGCAAGCGCAGCCTTGAGCTGGGCGATCTCCGTGTCCCTGTCACGAACCGCATTGGCAAGGTCTTCGATTTTCCTGCTCATTTCTGCTAGAGTTCCCTCCAGGCTGGCCGAGGCGACACCCGAAAAGGAGGTAGCCCCATGGCTTTGGTCATATAACCTTCTCGCCTCAGGATATGACAGATCTCTGTCCACCTTGAGTTTCTGTATATCGTTTTCCCTGCAATAACTCGGGCATGCTCGGTCGGATATTGAGTGCTCATCAGTTTTGCAACGGGGACAGAACTTTGGGTTGTTGCACGATCTGTCCTCAGCGATCGGATGATCGCCGGAACACTTCCCACAGATCGGCTTGGCTGACCTACAGCGCATTCGTGTATGTCCGAAGGCCCAGCAGTTGAAACATTGCATGGGCGACGGATAATATGGCCGGGTACGGCAACGGAGGAAACCAAAATCGATGTATTCGGGGAAGCACGTGCCCTCACATGTGAGTATGAGGGTTGGTGTGTTCACCCTACCGCCGTTAGCCCTGCGCGTGATTCGTCGGACGTCTTTGACACCTTGTTCGCTTAGGTCCTGGAGCAGAACATTTTCGGTATCATCGACCACATCACGGCAGCTTACTACGCATCTCGTAGAGTTGAGCGAGGGATGGGGTATCACCTCAACTTTCATACCGCATTTAAGTTGCTTCATCTGCAGCAGCCTTTCGTATTGGTGAGCACTCCTAACCTTCAGTGCGTAGGTGGCTCCTTGCGCCTCTTTGAAAGCACCTTCTATTTGTCCTCCTGCAATACGCTGTACATCCCTGCGAATATCAAAAGGTCGATTCGGCAATTTTTGACGTGGATCTCCTAGCCCTTGCAGACGTAGGATTTGCACCGTACCGTAATTCCCCTGCGGGTCCATAAAGGGTGGTAACCTTGCTCCATTACGTCCTCCTACGCCGTGTCGATAGCCGCCACCCGGATCCGGTTGGTCCCCCCATGATGGAGGGCCCCCCATAGAAGTCGCCATTAGGGCGACCCCAACCCAGCCTCCCAAATAAAAATCTCTAGCAGCTCACCTGGCTTCTGATGACGTTTCGGTGAAAAGCGCTGCAGCGATGAATTGACAGCGATATATATCGCGGTCAGACGACAAAAATCACTTCACTGGTCCCAGAGGAAAGTTTTTCGAATTAAATCGCCCACTAGGGCCACCGCAATCAAAGCACCGATACTAATAGCCCGTGTGGTGAGAGGAGAGAGGCTCAACTCTTAAAATACCACAGCAAAACGTACTCGTCGACGCCGCCTGTAGGGAGTCAAGGTCGCCCTGGTATGCGTGTAGTATTTGGCCGTCAACACCACAGGTATCGGGAGAAATTTGCTGCGCACACTTGTCGACACTCCGGGAGAGGGAGAGAGTTTTCTTTCTTCGTTCACCAGTATCGCTACTTCTTTGGTGGATGTGAAGCCGGGCCGAGACGGACGAACGGGCCCTATTCACCAACCACCACTATCACTTTGTATGGGATGAGCCCAATATTTGCCCCAAACCTCCGTAGGGGTATGTGGGCTTCGAAACAACGCAATTGGAGTTCACTTCACAAATGATAAACCCCCTCGCCCGTTCCAGCAGGTCGAAAGGGGTTTGTTTTTCGGCCTTTTCTTCCGGTTTTTCCTCTGCAGCTTTTCCGGATTCACGTTAGGCACATGCAAAAATACTAATACTCAACGCCTAGTAGACGCACTAGACGGAGTTGGACACTGTAAAACACTTACTAATCGCTTCTTCGATAGCGAAAAATCACTCTTCCCCCTCGCCCATAAGCGGACAAAAGGGGGGAATTTCGCGAATTTTTTTTCGTAAAAAGCACTCACGCCGTTTAATTCGCGTAAAAAACACCTTTTTGATTAACGCTAATTACAGCGATTAATAACTACAAGTTAAAAAAAACACTACGGTTCACTAGTTAAAATCAAAACACCAGTAAAATTGGACGATTAAAACGGAGTGAAAACAAACTTAGCTTGTCTGTATGAGAGCCAGCTCATTGTCGCTGGGATGTTGTGATGATTGGGACGTTTTAATCTTCATTGTTTTGATGTCTACTAATTTGTTGGATTATGATGTTTTTGACGTAGGACTACACCAGTGATTTCTGTATGGGAGTACACTTTGTAAAAACCGAAAATGGAACATGTAACAAAATTATGACAGATGTTGAACGTTAATAGCTCAGCTGCCCCTCGACAAATAATCAATAATTTTATCATCAATCGATCAGAAATATTCCTACGCATTTGTTAAAGTTAAGACTTTATTATTTTTCAAAATGTCACTATTGAACGGCACCGGTGGTGTAGTGGTAAGCGTGAGTACCTCTCACCCCAGCAGGCCTGGGTTCAATACCAGTCGGCGCCGCCGGGATGTTGAGGCATAGCATCTCTGATCACGCCTTCCTTCGGATGGGAAGTAAAGCCGTTGGTCCCCGGTTCATGAGTTGATGGGTCGATAGGTAGGGTCCAGGTGTGGGAGCTGCCTTCCTGGCACGTCGGTAGCATTGGTGCTCAGCACGGAAAACAAGACCGACGGAAAAAAACAAACCGAAGGAAAAAAAAAAATGTCACTATTGAAAATTGCACGAATGTACAACTGTTGCTATCATAATTAAAATTATCACCGATTGCCTGCGAAAAGCGATTTCCCTAACACAGATTTCAAAGTTGAATTCCATCCGGTCTCACCAAACGGTGTTTATTCAATCACCGTGTGGTGAGTGGTGGTGGCTCCCCCTAAGCAGCTAGCTATCAAGGCTGGCCGATTCAGTTCCAATCACCGTGTGTGGTGGTGTCCGGTCGTCGGCATCAGCAGCAGCATTGTTTTCTAGTACACAACGAAACGCTGCCTGCACGCAGTGAGCTGGAGCCCACATGAGCATGAATAGAAAGAGGAAGAAGCCGCACCGCTATTGACCGGAAGCAGTAGCTCTTCGTGAGTAGCTGTGGGCCATCTATGCAAATCGCGTTACCTTCATTCCAGGCAACATACAGCTCACCAGCATCATTTGTGTTTAACACCCTAATAGCATTACTCAAAACGGTCCTTTTCAGGACCACCATAATAATTGTAAAAGAGTATTTTTTTGGACATTTGTCAAGGTCATCAATCGGGTCACCATCAGGTAGAGCAAGACTTCCTCTAACCAACGGTAACGCTGGTTGACGTGGGCGTGCCTTGAAATCCTAAAAATCATCGAGAGAAGTCATTGTTTACAAAAGCTGTTAGCCTAATTCCAGCTCTATCTAGATATGTTTAAACCAAATATACAATGTACTTCAAGGCAACATTGGGGGTGCAATTTCAAAAACCAAAGTCGGTCGCGGTTCTTAGAATTTATGGCATGCTGTCAAAAATTCTGGAATGCTCTTGGAACTTATGGGAAGTCTTAGAAATTTTTGGGAAGTTATTGTATCGTATGGGGAAGTTCTCAGAATGTTTGCGAAGTCCTTGAATTTACTGGAATCAGTGAATTTTTAGAATTTTTTTGGAATTTGTTGTAAATGCACGGATTTTTTTGGTAAGTTGACAGATCTCCTGAGAAACTCTCGGAAATTGTGGAAAGCTCTGCAGAATTTATGTGAAGAACTTGGATATTCTACGAAGTTTTTGGAATTTATGAGAACTTCTGGGAAGTTTTCAAATGTGCTAGGAAGTTCAAGGGAGCCCCGGCAATGAATAATCCATTTAGTTTAAATAAAGCATTTCACAGTGTAAAACGTTCCTGCTTAGTAGTTCACCTTTTCGCTGTTTTAAAAACCTTTTACAGTCTGGCGAGAAGTCAAAAACTGTCTTGTTTTAAAATGTAATTTAATTCAATCCCACCATAAAACTGTTATATAAACCAATCATAAGCTTCATTAGTAATTTTTTATTAATGTCTTGATAAAATACTCTTTAAATCTGTTCTATCATTATAAAAGCAATCATAAAACCAATTGGTTTTAAATGAGAGAAAAAGGCATAGGCTTTTAGGCTTTCAAAAGTGTATCATAAAATCTCCTCTGTTTACAAATTGAACTTTAAGGATGGATCCTCATAGTGAATGAAAACCAAATTTATAACAGCGATGCTAACGAACGAAGGGAAGTCGATTTCAGTAAAATTTAGTTCTTTAGATGAACCAGCACGTCCGGTAGAACGGGTACCATCAACGACTGAGCATCTGGTGGAAAAGAGTGAAGTGAGCGTGGTCCTCAAATTCATAAAACATTGTCAAAAAAGTCTGAAAACAGACCAGCCTTCTCCAGACATTGCGTATAGATTAAGATCGGAATAACTTGCGTGAGTACCGACATCAAACCACTGAAACTGTCAGTTAGCGGACACTAGTTGGTTTCCGATCCATAGCTGCGATTTTAGTCGGCGAAAGGATCATCACTTGGAAAAAATTCATTCAACCATACATTCATGCATCGTTTGATGGTGCACTTCCAGCACCATCCGGAAGAAGTGGATCTTTTCGGGAATGATCGGGGTTACAGCAGTGCGAAATGCGAAATGTTGTGATCACTTTCTGAGTAATTGCTTACAAGCCATCGGTAGAGAATCGCCCGGAAGACTGCTGAATCGCACAGTGCAACTGTCGAAAGATAAACAAACTTTGACATTTAACAATTTGTAGGCAACATTGCCAACAACCTTATAAATTTGTTTAGAATTTCTTGAAAGTAAAATAACTTTTTCACAAATGGCCCATAAAAATCAACTTTTAGGCCTCCGCCATATTACAATTATTTTGTTTGTTTTTTACAATCTTCGATTTTCAATCTATATTTCCTTGGATATAACTTAATTTTAGTTAATTTAGCAATGAGAAAATATTTCGAATGCAAAAATCATGAGAAACAAAAATCTCGGCTAATATATTTTTTTCTTAATTTAAAATAATTAGTAACATCGATGTTTTCCGCGGACTCAAGTTTTTCGATGTTTTCACGTACATTTCACATCAAATTTTATATGGCACCTAAAACTAGGCCACTCCATGAGAACTATTTGATAATTTTGGAAATTCGGCAGGATTTCTTTACGAT